GCCCCCGGCCGCCCCCGGCCCGGCAGCGCCGCGGCAGCGCCCTGGGCAGCACGCCAACGGCTGCCAACGGCGCGCCGGAGGTACGCCCCAGGACCGCCCGGGCGGGCAGTCGTAGCGCCGACACCACAGCGACAGGACAGGACCGAGAGGATACAGTTTCATCTGACCGAAGCGCAAGCAGCCAGCCATCACCATGGTGTACGAGTCCGACTTCTACACGACCCGCCGGCCGTACTCCCGACCCAGCCCTTCCATCACCTCGTACTCCGTGACGGTAAGCTTACATCCCCATCAAGCACTGAGCACTGAGCAGGAACCTCGCCTCTCTGAGTGACGTGGATTGACGCCGAGCGACACCTGTGAGTGCATTCACTGCGGGTAAGAGGGGGATGGGTGGGGAAGGGTCTCTCTCTGGTCTGGTTCCGCTCGTCGGGGACGAACCTGTCGCGCAAACAACAAACTACTATTTTATCGACAAACACCTAACTAGCCCTGCGCGTGACGTGACGCCGAGCGCGGGCGGTTTGACGCTGGATCGACGGGGACCTGTCAGACCAGTTTGTCAACGACAATCTCAGCTGTTTACTCGCGCGTGGCGTGCTCTCCCTCGAGCCTCCAATTCCAGAAGCCCTAAAGGCGGGTCTAAGGGCGGACCTCACGGCGGGCCTAAATGTGGACCTAACGGCGGTTCTAAAGGTCGTATAAGCGAGTCTAAAGGTGGGCCTAAAGATCATCCTAGAGGTGGCCCTAAAGGCTGCCATAAAGCTGGCCCAAAGGCGGGCCTAGGCGTGATAGTGGGGAGAGGGGGGGGGGGGGTCTGGGGGGATGAAGGAGTATAGTATGCGGTCCGGGTTGCAGGAGGGGCGAGGTCTGGCTAGCTGCCCCTGGACACGCCCGTTTCGTGAATGACCCAGGCACCTGCGGGGTTGGCTGCCCGCGCACCGCGTACCAGTAGTCGCTTTCAGTGCTTTCAGTCACTTACTCCCCTTCATAAAGCGGCCGGTTGTGATCGCATCTCGAAATAACCCGCGACATGGCTGGGTGGGCGGGGCG